ATAAAAAGACAAAYTCTTACTCACTGTTATGGTCATGCATTCCCCCCTTCTCGGGCCACGCTATGATCTGAGACAAGTATACATAAAGGAGACAGGTCTGTGGTTACTATCTTTTACAAACAATTTTGTCACCAGAAAAATCCCTTATAATTCCATTCTTAATTTTTGTAACGCGTAATGTGTAGTCATTAGTCAATCAAAAAGAAGTATGAAAAACAAGAAAACATGATAAAATACTTTAATAGTGGAGGCAGTAAAAATGTAGGGCTCCTATAGGAAGAATGCAAGCTTAGTATAAAGTTTATAAATGTCTCCACCCATTACTGTCAAACCCAACCCATTTGCTTTTCCTGTGTTAACAACTGAACACCTTTGTTACCTCTCTGGTTTCATATTTATTCATGACTAGCACATGTTACCCCACATCATAGTTTGATATTGATATTTCACATGTAATCAGAAATAACTCCTCTGATTGGTGATGACTCCATTAAACAATTTTCATTAATTTAATCTTTTTGGAAATGTAAATGCATTTTCAAAAAACATAAAAAATATATTGAGTTTTAGTTTCTTCATTATTCTTAAGGTACTACATTATTGATGTTGCCTCATTGACCTTGTCCCTTGAGGCAGGCACTGCTGACACATTTTTTATTATTTTTCTCATTAATAAACATGTGCCTCCTTCACTAGCCCATGCACTTCTTCTACAATGTAGAGTGGATAAAGTGTCTTTTATCATTCATTTATGATTCATTGACTGTTTATTTTAGTCTTTCCATGCCATATTCCTATGGCAAGAGCACTGGAGTGGTTAGATTTTTAATTTTGTACCATGCACATAACTGACTAAGAATTACAGGCTTTGCATTTGGACACTGATAAGTGAAAACTATTAATACCAAATTTTTGTCRTTATTTTGTTTAGGAGCAAAGTATGTTAGTAATGTAATTTGGTAGTGATATATCATTTTAAAATACAAATGCTGACACAGTACCTGAATGAGGGGAATCCCTAGCACTTTTGGCATCCTTCCCWAAATTCACTGTGTCCCCTATCCCTTTAGCAAACTTCCTAAAATGCTTTGCAGTGASATTTAATGGAGACTGAACTACAGATAGCTCCATGGTCAGACACTAACCTACAGTGCAGCTGTACTAAACCTGTTCTTCCAGATTAGGAAACAAAAATAAAAGGAAAATATTCTCTGTGACATTTACAGTGTTCTTAGCCACCAGATCCACCAACAACAGAGAAAATGACCTTCCTCTGCCACGTCATCCAGCCATTTACTTCCTCCACACTATATTATCTAAATGCAGATGTCTGTGTAGCATTTACTTAGCTCCCTCTTCTTCTGTCTTAGGCATACATACATGATAAATACAGGGACAGTTTTAAAGTCTCTGAGTATATTCTCTACATAATTGCCATGTTTATCCATAATGATATAGGAAGTGTTCAGTCCAAAAAAACCCARAAAACCTCAAGGTTAGGAGATAACACCCCTTGACTATTATAATTTAGTTTCATTGCCTCTGTAATTGCAAAAGTGAAGTCAATGCATTTTCTCTGCCTGATGGGGAAGACACAAAAGTAAAAGGTCAAGGCTTTATCTGTCTGTGGTTCTGCCACTGACTTAGTGTATAATCTTACACAAATCACTTCGAGCTGTTGTGTATCAGGTTCCTAACTAGGATAGTTATTGGCATCTTCYGGCTCTGCAAATAATTTTAGGTCTATGTCAATTCTAGTTGTTTAATAAYGTTAATCAACATTAAATTACTAGGCAATGCTTTTAAATGCCTTTTCTGTGCTTATTTTTCTGTATTAATGTTTCCAAAACTGTTTTTATTGTCATGACTGTAAAATGTATTTTAAATCCTTATTTTTTAAATGTTATTTTCCCACAATTGGTAGTGAAAAGGGATTTTTTTTCAGTCATGTGTGTTGCTTTCCTCTAATGCTGGCTTACACCAATGACAAGTGATTTGAAAAGTCACGTCATCATAGCAATATAGAGGTATAGCTTGAAACTGACTTTATTCAGAATTGTTCAGTCACATTCATTCAACCCAACTATTTATTCTTCTATCCTCTCATCCATTCATTCTCTCATATGCTCTGCAATTGACCTATTCCCTGCATTGTATATCCATTTGCAAACCTCCAGGCACGTTCACTGCCCTTTTCACTGACTTACTAAAAACCTACCACCTGTTCACTCACTCACTCTTGGACAGATCTGCCCTCAGTCTCAGACCTGGCTTCCGAGATGGTTTCGCTCTCTTCTCATTCCCTACTCTGCTCCTGTATCTTCTATCCTGTTGCCTGTTTCTGAATTTAGTTAAGGACTGCAGGTTTAAGAGCRCAGAAAGTTCTTACACCTTTCTTTAACCTCTTTTTCTTCCTTAACTGCTTTTTTTTCCCCCTGGCTCAGATTTGATCCAGCTTGCCTAGACTTAAAAATACCCTCAACATYTTGTCTGAACTAAGTGTATTATGACGGAGGCAGCCTTTACATATTCTTACTTCACAGAAAGCATTATGTGTCCTTTTGAAGATTAGACTTTATTGTGCTTATAGTAGAGGTTTTTAAAAGCACATTTCCTCCACGTCCTTGGAACACCCATTATGGAATTGATGTGGACACATATTAATAATTGTTCATTATATGATCTCATTGCCACAGCATGCAGTATTTGGAAAATTATAATCTTATTTACAAAAACAAAAATCAGTTATAATTACTGTGAGGACTAGTATCTTTAGCCCTACACCATTAGCTYACATACAACTCTGATTAATACTACAGACCTCTGGAAAACCTCTCAAATTTGTGTTGGAGGCCATTTGTTGTTTAGTCCGCTGAAAGACATAACATAAGTGGAACCAATAGGAATTTTCAGCAGTGCAATTTATGGTATTAGTGGTATGTTCCAAACTTATTATTAGTGTTTTCTTTTTCTCAGCAAATTCCATTTGGTAATATATTTTACTTGAAAGAAGGCTCTAGAATCTGACATTTGACAAGGTATAAATATCAATATTGGTTTTACCTCCAACCTTCAAGTCTGCAAGATTTTGCAGGTTTTGCTGAGAAGGGAGATTGAAAAATACATCACATAAATGAACAATATAATTCTTAAAAGGTCATGAAATCTAACCTGGAGAGAGTCAGAAATAACGGAAATTTTGTTTTGGTGCTAACCTTTGCTCCAGTTACTTTTGCAGGTTTTTGGAAGTTTGTGAAGACTGTAGGCTCCTTGATGAAACCTGACAAAATCCCTGGGATTTTCCTACTCAGAGCTAAAAACTGCCCAAACCTATACTTTTTAAAATGAGATATTAAAAAAAAAAAAAAAATCTTTGTATCTACGCTTGGAATATAATTTCATAGTTGTATCCCTCAGGAGATGCTTGAAGTCTTGTCTATGCTACAGGGTTTTGCTAGCATATTAATACCAGCAGTCAGTCCCAGTGGAGATGCAGATTAATCTTCTGCTTGCATAGATTACAGCAATTACCCAAATAAAATATGGCAAGGATTTTTTTATCCTGCTACTGTATTTGCATCAAGGATTTTCTGGCATGGGTTCATTTGATCCTCTTTTATGCTCCTGTAAGACTCAGGTTAATCATCAGAAGTGATTCTCCCCCTTCCTGGGAGGCTGTGGCTTCTCAGCTCCTGCTCCCTGATGCTGTTGTGTCCCAGAGCTGGGCATGCCTGCTTTCTTCTCCATGTTTCATATCCAATGTTTCGATGGTGTATGACCCTATTTGATGTCAAAGGTGTGATGAACACTGGTTACCCAATGTTAAACTGGCCTAAGTTAAATCACCATTTTGAAAATGCAATGCAGGGAAATTGATTTCCCGGTATTTTCCACACAACAGATTGTTGCTGGCTATGCCAATATCCTCCTTCAAACCCTACTGTTTCACAGACCCTGAAATATCAAGGGTGCTTTGAATCAAAACTTCCTTCATCTGAGGTTATCACCATGTCTCCATGCCTTTAAGAGGCTCMATTTCCTCAATGATTTCTTCTTTTTGCTATTTCTTAACTGCAGGTAATGTGAATTATTATAAATTGGCTGTCATGTTATTGTAAAAATACAATGTGTAATGCCGGAATTTAAAGGTCAACCAGTAAAGCAAGTGCCATTATCTGCCAAACTAAATATTTTGTTGTCTTGCTCCAATGACTCCTGCTAACCAAGCTATGGCAATCTCATGACACTGGTATCACTTGTCCCAAGCAATAATAATAAAAAAAACTAAACAAACCCTAATCCAAAACCAGAGAGCCATGTGTTAGTCCATGTCAATTCATCCGAACAGTCACACCAGGCGTGCATGGACACCATGATAATCGATAACCTATCAGTGACTCAGCAGAAGGACGTCGGGTGAGATCTGTGCATTTACTGACCTATTTTCTTTCCTGCTTCTATATACCGCCAGGCAGCCACCTAGGCGAACCTATGCTTAAAGGTAAAATAATTGCAGTAATGTTTGCTTTCTACACGAGTTACTCCATCCCCACGGTGCTGAGAGGCTGTATCCCAGGTGCGGTTTTCCCTGTGGTCTGCGGCAAGCGGATCCATCCAACCCSAGACGAAAAGGCAGAGGAGGAGCAGGGGAATGCGACAAGTGGCACTAGGGGCGAGGAGCTGAGGCTGACCTCCGGGACACCACACCTGCTTTCGGCAGAGTCGCCTCGGTGCCCTGCCAAGCCACGCAGCCCCAGGTGGCGCGGGAGGAGCCGCTCCGGCGGCGCCGTGGCCGGGCTRATGTGACCCGGCGCCGTTGGCGCTCCGGCCGCCCCGCGGGGGCGCTGCCGTTAACGGGGGCTGCGCCGCGCGGGGGAAGGGACGGGCAGCACCGARAGGAGGAGAGGGCGGCTCAGCGCCCCTGCCAGACCCCTGCGAGCCAGGGCCGGGTCCGCCCCCAGCGCCGCCCGGCCGCCATACTGCGGGGCAACCCAAACTTGTTACACTCGGCCACCGACTCCTCCTTCTCCTGCCTCTCCCGCCGCCGCCCTGCCCCCGCCGACGCGAGGAGAAGGGGGCTGCGCCGGCCCAGCCCCAGCCGCGGGGAAGGCGCCGAGCAGGGCGGGGACCGTGCGAAGGGAGGGCCGCAGCCCCCCGCAGGTAGGAGCGCCTGGCGGGGCGGGCTGTGCGCCGGCTGGGGGAGGTGGAGACGGTGGCGGGGGGCGGGCGGAGGCAGCAGGAGGCGGCGACGAGAGAGCCGTCGGCAGTGGGGCAGCGACGGTSCGTGCCCGCCGCGCCTTCTCCCGCCGAGGTGGGTGCGGGACTAGGGGATCCGGTGTGGGCGCGGGCCGCGGCGCCTCACCTACGGAGCGCAGTCGGTCCTGCCGCCTGACGGGGCCCGGGCCGCCGCTGGGCTCGGGCGGGGGGCGAGGGCGCTGGCAGCCCCCGCCTGAGACGCGGCCGAAGCGAGGCGGAGAGGAGGAGCCTTCACAGCAGCAAATGAACGAGGGCTGCCCGGTTTATAAATCTGCTTTTCCTCCCACCGCCCCTGAGCCCCGCTGACTCCGGCGGGAGCGACCGCCCGCCAGCCGGCTGCGGCCCCGCCAGGTGCGTGCCCGGGGCGGCGGCCGGGCCCGTGCTGGCCGCACCTGCCGCGGAGACGGGGACCGGGGCGCGCCCCAGGGTGGTGAGGATGGATGCGAGGCGTTTTCACCCGGCTGGGAAGCGGTCGGTTTCCAAGGGCCAGCAGCCCAGGTTGCCAGGATTCTGTCCCGGCGTTTCGGGGAGGCCGCTGTCTGCCAGGAGCCGCCGTCCCTCATTCAACGAAGGGCAGGACGCGGTGCTGGGTGCTTGCTGTCGGGTGGTAATCGGCTGCATGTGTTCTGAAGAGCTGTTATGTGCTGTTTTATTTTTCAGCTGTCAGGAGAGTTTAAATCAGGTCTCCACCGAGGTGCCGAGTTTGGAAGGTACGGGTGAAGTGAGAGTTTTCTGTCCCCATTTGCCCCTCAGCTAATTCTGAGGGATGTCTTTCACTGCTTCCCGGAGGTGTGGGCTGTTGCATGGTGTTTTCCGCGTATACAAAACTACGCGTTTAAGGGAGAAGGATGGAGTGCATGAATGGAGCCGTGGTAACTTCATTGTTGCAGTTCCTTTCTAATACGTGACTGGCTTTAGCAGGGAAGGGAACAGGAGCTTAATCCTGCTCTAGTGTGGGAGGGAACCTGATGGATCTATAGGYTAAGGTGTTTTTCATGTCTGCTTTTTGGTTTAATGTGGAAACATTTCCCTGCCTTCTTTCATGTCTGTTATACTGTCCCTCTTGTGGGGAGTTACTTCGGCTGAAAAATGTGAAACATGACCTTTAAGTCTATGGCACCCAAATATTTCTAGGTCTGAAAGTCAATGTAGTAATAAAGCCTTTCTTTTCAAAAGAAATTTTCAAAAGAAAATTAAAATTCCTGTAGTAATTAGCACTAGGCCGTTGACTGCTTTGTGCCCATCAGGCTCAGAAATAGCTACTGATCTCATACTCTCTTTCGGATACCTGTACGGAGGTTTTGTTAGAGAACAGTTTAATGACTTCTTTTATTAGAAAGAGTGCGAGCTCAGGCAGTTACGCAAGTGCGCCTAAAGGAAGCTGTGCTGGCTGCATGGATGGCGAATGTGGAGGCCGTGCCSGAGTGGGAGTATCATTTACAAACTGAGTTAGAAAGGGGCATTGTAAGAGAGAACGGAGTAGCTCGTGGAGGGTGAAACATTGTATGTACAGTGTTCCCCGCTGTGCGGGGAAGAGGGTTAGTATACTGTGCTGCCTGGGATGAGCTGTGTACATATGGATGGGCACTCATCGTTCTTTCCGGTAGCAGAGATGACGTACAGGTGACTTTTCCACTGAAAGCAAATGAGTGGCATGGGAATGTGATTCTACGTGTATGTTCTTAGAGGAGGAAGAAAAAAAGGAAAGCTTTGTAAATGGGGAGCTGGATTGACAGATGARGTCTGTCTTTACTGTGGTCTCTTGTCCTTTTGAGGAAGTGTTTTGCCATCTCTCTCCCCTCCCCTGAAGTAATTACTTCATATACCTTTCTCCATGGTCAAGGATTGCTATGGCGTCTGATGCCAAAAGCTGCTTGCCTTCAGACCTACCAGAATAGGTCTACAACAGTTTTTTTTAAATTTCTTTTTTTTTAAAGAAACAAAAGCCATTGTAGCTGGTGGGGAGGGCGGTAGCTATTTGAACAAGTGAAGCGTTTGATGTGAACAGATCTGTTTCAAAACGGTAACACTGATTCATAGGTTTTTCTGAACGCTGTAAGTACAGGTGTGCCCACAGACTTAATTTAATATGCTGTCTTGCCATCTCTTTGTTGGTGTTATGATTCAGTTCCCTCTCTTCTCCCCACCCCCACCCCAGTCTCTGTATAAACAACTATTACATTGAACATTTGATAACCTTTTTTGTTAATCTTGCATGGATACATCCATTCCCTGCCAAAATTTGTGAATTTGTACCACTGAGAGGTCCTGCAAGAAGGAGGGATGTTCTGGATCCTCTGGTGCTTCCCTTATTGGCCTGCCTCCTCAGCAGCTAAGCTTCAGAGTTCTCTGTTTCTTGCAGCCTCTTGCTGGGGAGAGCGGGAGAACTCGGGAGGATCTGTCATCTGCCCAAGGCCAMTTGGCTGGAGTTGGAAACTGTGCTTGCTCTGCAGCACACTGGCATTCTTTCCCAACTGTCTTTGGGGGTGTGTATCAAATTAATATTTGTATGCAAAAATGCATTGTCTTAGATGTTTTCTTGCAGTGAAATAAGTGGGAGGTCTCTTTCAGTCATGTCAAAATTAATTCTTGTTCTTGGCTGCTAGCATTAAATGTAATATTGGCATATGTCATCTAGTTKGCAAGAGGTGTTGGATAAGTTGATAGGCAGTTGTGCATAATCTGGTTTTTAAAAATGACTTTTTGAAGTGGGATTCTAAATCAGAAGAAATGAAATCTTGGAGCATTTCTATCACAGTTATGTTACCTTGGAACTTTGATAATTGTTTTCTTTTAATTTTGGTTTTCTCCAGAAAAACATGGAACCTCAAGCCAGTTGTTGCAATRGGGATTCTGTAGATAATGAGGAAGTAAGGTATTTCCCCTGAATATTCAGAGGTAAAGTTATTTGTGCTAGTTCTTGCTGTGCAGAGGTAACTTGAAATAATTGCCAAAGTTGACTAGCATTTCTTGTAAGCCTTCTGTGATTCCAAGTGTTGGATCTTGTTGGATTCATATTCTGTGATGTATAAATCAGTTAAAAAGTAGGTTTCTGAATGTTTATGACCATGGAAGTGTTATTCATGAATAGATGGTATGTGCTATGCTTATTATTAAACTGAGGATTAATTAACTGTMGACATAACTGAGAGAATTTTTATTTGTGTTTTATATTCTGGGTAGCGTGTGAGAATAAGCCTAGAGATTTAAAGATGACAACAAAAYCAAGCAAAGCAGATAATAAACTTTCCTTGTAGTAATATTAAATAATTTTGGGGAAGGTCTTGTTCTTGGGTTCTCTGTTATGCTCTACTCAGTTGCTGTATGCCATGTTAATTAACTCAAGAAAGGTATGSTCAATTGGGAAGCTGCAAAATAAACAAGAAGCTGGGAAATGCTTTTGGCTTTTTGTTTGGTGATTCTTTCTCTGAAGTTTTCTGCCTCCTTCTTTCTAACTAGTCATTTCTCTGATTATAAAGCAGTCTTTTATAAGAACTTTTTCATCTTGCTTTGCATAGTAGTCCTTTGCTTGAGCRTCTAGGTAGATAGGTAAAATAAATGTATTGAATAAAAGGAGGCAAGTCCCACTTCTGTTATTGTGTCTTGAGTTTGGGAAGTTGAAGTGGCTGAGGAGTTGATTTTCAGTGGTTCATATAACTGGTTGTGTACCAAAAGGAGCTTGGGAATGCCAAAAGACACTGCTGCAAGTGTCAGCACTGCAAAAGACAAGCTTCCACTTGCAGTTAATGTGTCTGCATTGATACAGTTGTGCAGGCTAGATGTGGAAGCTGTTTTAATAGTTTCTCTTCTGATATGAGGGYTTTGTCCTTGTTTCTTGGATGAATTAGTGAAGGAAACCAGAAATTACTTTTTCTGTTCCCATAGCTCTTCAGCTACAGAGAAGAAAGTAGCACCTCATATTTCAGACTAATGTGTGYCATCATCCTGGATTGGGAAGTTACAGATCTTGCTGTCCAGACCTGAATTAATGAGGTCTTACATTTAATTGTATTCTGGCCAAAAAGCTTTTATGTTYTTTTATCTGCCTGTAAAGTTCCAGGAATGCAAAGGGCTGCTTAGCCGTCTGGAGGTGCTGCTGCAGCCTGCCTTCACTGTGAGGGAGGATATTGMCTGCATTAAGAAGTGTGTTGTGCTCCACTTCCAGCCAAGGGTGTCCAAGAACTGCTCTATTTCCTTCTACTCACTGTAACACCAAGCTGTTGTGCAGTGAGTTTCTGGGTGTGTGAGTGTTTCTGAAAATGGAATGAATAAATATGCCAAAACTTATTTTTGGTATGTGTAGTGCTTTCTTTTTCTTTTTTTTTTTTTTTTNTTTTATGGTGGGATGGAGAAGGAAAAAACAACTTACGGAATGAAGAGGCATGCATGTTGTTTTCAGTACAGTAGCTCTGAGACTTTGGACAAGTAAGTCTTGTAAAACACATAAYAGCAGCTTTTGCTTCATGAGTATGTTGTTCTGTACTGAGGGTCCAGTTCTGGTGGAGGAAACACAACAGATGACAAAATAATAAAAATCTGTAGATGTAAGCTGATAAGGAACTCAGGAATCTTTGTCAAGACTATAAATAAAGTTAATTGACTACCGTGTATTAAGCTTAGAACCAAGTTTGATGGTACAAGGAGTAAGCACACACTTTTTTGCCTCATCTTCCACCTATTTCTTTTTGTCTCTGTTCATGTGCAGCAGYGAGCTCATAATCCACTAGGCATTTTCTGCATTGATCCTCTTAAAAAATTAGTATTAGCCTATATATGAGGCAGGCTAAAGAGGATTGARCACTGCTGCAAAATTAGTACCTGTTGGCCTCATTGCAAGGACAGGCTCGTTTCCTGTACGTTGCACAGAGCTTGATTGTGTGTTCTTCTGCAGGGCTGTGCATGCTAAGCAGATGTGTAGGTGATGGAGCACTGATATGGAAGTGACTGGGAAATACATGGAATTTGCACATGGGAAAATTGTGACATTGTTAGTGCATCTAATAACTAGGTGGGAGACAGAAAAGGATATTATGCAAAGCAGGGGAAGGTWTATAGAGATGGCAGTTCTACTGGGAAAGCAGGGAGGAGAGGAAAAACTTCTACAAACTTGGTTAGCTCTTTGCTGGTGTGCAGCAGAGACCGAGGTTGTCTGGAAGCTAAAGCAGGTCTGACAGAACTGCAGCAAGGCGTGGCAGTGGGGAGGCTGGTRCCTGAATAAAACCTCCAGGTCCATGCAGATTTGCATGCATTGCAAAAGGCAGAGCAGAGGAGTAGGGGGAAAAATGCATGAAATGTGATTATCATTCTTACTTTGTTTGAGAGTCTTTTGCATGGGCAGACTTTTAAGTGTRTTCCTGAGCTTTTCTACTTCTCYCAATATAAATCAGACCTTCTTCTTRCCCCAAATAAYTGATTTTATAAGTATATGCTCAGTTGTGCTTTGTTGGTTTTTTTTTAATAAGCAAATGATACTGTATGAATATACAAAGAGATGCATAGAAATGTAGAGGCTTTTTGTTTTTTTTACAGAATGTCTTTGTTCTCGTTTCCAYTGAAAGAGATA